CAGCTGATAAACCATTGTCTGTGACTGAGATCCCTGTAGCTGTTCATCATATCGATAATTCGAAGGGTAAAAACCAAAGGCAAAAATTTTAGGCACCAGGAAGACAAGTGAGAAATAAATTGGGGAATAAGAAATGTTCTTCTAGTATTGTTCAAATAATCCACAGAAAAACAAGTACCTTCAGACACTACATAATTTATTAAACTTTTAGAATTTAACATTGAATATTAATTTACAATAATGATGATTTTGAAAGAAACATCTGTAGATTCTATTCTAAACTGAGAACATTAATAATATTACTAAGCTGTTTCTCAAGTTTTATAGTCAATGGTATTTGCCCCAGTAAATATGCAATAAGACAAAATGCATTTGTTAATTATTTATTATTTTTGCAGGTGCCTTGCAAAAACAAATGTTTTTCATGTTTTCCCTTAATGGTATACACACCAATCCTAGCTCTGTTTTACCGTTTTGATATTTAACATCAGTATGTCCACCTGAATCAACACATTATGGGGAGTTTTCACACCCAGTTGGAACCTCGGGATTTACTATGACCCTATTCATTGCAGCAGAAGACTGAGGCAGGAAACCTGGGTCTCATCTGCTGCTGCTGTCTTACCCCAGACAAGTCAAAGCCTCTTCTCTCTCAAGTGTATAATAAAGGATGTAAATTCAATGATCTTTACAGAAAGTCTCTTCTAGGTCTATGCTTATCTGAATGCTAAGGAATCCAGTCAAGCTGAGGAACCAAAGCAGTTTGATGTGGAAAGTACACTGAGTGGCCAGATTATTATGACCACCCCATCAGTACTTCATTGGGCCACCTTTTGCCTTCAATACTGCGGCGATTCTTCTTGGCATTGACTCCACCAGATGTTGAAAGGTGATGCGAGGAATCTGACACCATGCCTGATGAATAGCACTGTCCAGTTCTGTGAGATTTGATGGTTGTGGGACCAGCTGCCTGATGGCTCTTTTAACTTCATTCCACAAATGCTCAATTGGATTGAGATCTGGTGATTGTGGGGCCACCAAACAAGGTAAAGTCTCCCTCATGTTCTTGAAACCACTCCTGCACAATACGAGCACCGTGACATGGCATATTGTCTTGTTGGAAGAAGCCATCTCCATTGGGATACGCCATCAACATGATAGGATGAACTTGA